CCCCCCCCCCCCCCCCCCCCCCCGCACCTCCCATCACCCACTGGGCCCATGAGCAGACAGATACGTCAAGGGATGTGCTCTGAGGCCTGGCGAGGAGCCACAGGGATCCGGTGTGGGGGGATGGAGGTGGGAGTAGTCAGCAGACAGCATTCCATGCCACCTTGTCCTCTCTCCCCACCCCACTCCCGACTTCCCCACCTTCCTCGCTTTTAACTTAAGAGGCACAGATTTTGTGCAATGACAAGGAAAGGGAACATTCAGTGCCAGGCTTTTAATTACAATTGCTTTGGGCTGCTGGCCTCCACGCCAAATGGTCACATGGAGAGCGTTTTATCACACCACAAAGCCGAAGGATCCAGTCTGGTGTGTGCACGCGGCACCTGGTGAGGGTGGGGCTGTGTTCCCACAGGGAAGGGCAGCGGACAGGGCTGGCCGAGTGCAGCCTGGGCTTAGGGAGTCACTGGGCTGGATGGAAAGGTTGCTGGGCTCTCCCAGCAGGCTCTAGGGAAGGCCTGTAGTCAGGGAGGAGAGGGGTCTTTGGGAAGAAGGCCAAGCTCTGGAAGGATGATGAGGATCGATGGTACTGTGAGGGACAGCCGAGTGAGCAATACAATGGTAATCTTGTCCACGACACTACAATTTACAGAGAGCTTTCCACTTTCTTGAGCATGCTTAATCCTCACATCAATCCTGTTTAGGCGACACAGCTCAGAGAAGGGGTGTTACTTGCTCAGAGTCAAACAGGTAGAAAACCAGGACCGGAGCCCTGGCCTCGCACTGCGTCCATAGCAGTCAGGGCTGGTCCCCCAGGAGCCAGAGGAGCAGTCCAGGCAGAGAACGGGTTGCACCCCCTGGAGCCACAGGGTAGCCTCGCTCAGGGCAGCACCGTGGTGACGCTGGTGACCACCACGTGCTCTGAGACTTTGGAGACGGAGCATCGGCTCTGCAAGGACAAGGACTTGTGCCTGGCAGAGGAGCGGGGGCTGGGGGTCCTCAGAGAGCCGCAGGGACCCAGGCGGGGCAGGCAGCAGGAGAAGGCAGCTTTGAACTGCTCCCGGAATTTGCCTTGGTTGGGAGACAGAAGACACAGCCATCAGGAGACGGATGCAGCCGGAAGGGGCCTTGGGCCCAGGGACACCCACGCAGCTCAAGCCAAGCTGCCTATGAGGGGGTGGGAGGGAAGGGTAGAGTGGGATGGAGAGAGCCCCAGAGCCACCTCATCACTGCCAGGGAGAGAGAACAGAGGCCGGGAGCAGGTTCCCAATGAGAAATGCAGTTTTTATCTGATTCCTTGACTGCGCTCTGGCTCTGAGCCCGCTCTAACCGTGTAAACATGGTGTCTGGCTCAGGGGCCTCAGATCATGTCTGCCCTCCTGGGCGTGCAGGTGGAGGGGCTCAGGGCTCACGGAGGCTTTCCCATCTCTGTCCCCTGGTCATGAAGATGACAGCAGCAGCAGCCCTCACACCAGGCATTGTGCTGGTGCCTCAGCACCCTGGGAGCCTGGGGTCCTTTATCCTCACTTCATAGATGAGACACAGAGGTGCAGGCTTGCCCAAGGTCACCAGCTAGCCGTTGGCCCTGGTTCTAACTCGAAAGCCTTTTGTCTAAATGGGAAGAGTGAGTGGGGAAGGAGGGACTACCACAGCCACCTTGTTCAGCAAGGGCACCAGGGAGACAGATTTTATCTGGAACTGAAACCTTGATCATGTTTCAGCATCCCACCAGCCTCCAGTGCCCAGCAGAGGGCCTGCCTAGCACACAGTAGGCGCTCAGTCAATGTAACCGCAAAGGAATGCACTGTGCCTGCTGCAGCGTGCATCTCTCTGTTCTCTCTGAGCTAGAGACCACCTGGCCAGCCTTGGTTGAGTAATTCTTGAGTCTCATGAGGGTTATTATATTGACCCCAGGTCCCTTTCAACCTTTTTTGGAAGATTATTTGTGTCCAGGCCTGAACAGTCATCTGGACCAGTTCTTTAGGCCGTAAGTCAGGGGTCGGGTGAGTCACCCTTTTGCTGGGCTGGGGGACTGTGTGGAAACGGAGGTGGAGGGCATGGGAAGTGCGGGACAGGAGAGAGGAGGCCCAGGTTGGGGTTGGGGACCGGGAGGCCTGGATTTCCAGAGTGGGGAGCAGGAGGACTGGTGCTGGAGAAGGGTGGATCCAGGGATAGGGCCCCCCCCCCCAAATTCTGGCCCCTCTGCCAGTGTGTGTCTAGCTGGGCATGGGGAAGCCCTCTGGTGATGCCCTGAGACCCGACGATGCCTTGATTACGAAGCCATCCCTCAGGCCCTCTTCCCACAGGCCTGCTTCCCTCTGGAGCCTGTGACCAGGCTGATTGGAGGTCCTGCTGTGCACACACCTGGTGGGGGTGGAGACGAGCTGTCCTACTACTGCCCTCCCCACCCACTCACTGGTCTGCATAATCTGCAAAACTGGACCCTGGGTGCTGGTCAGCTTCCTTTGGCCACAGTTGGGACTGTGGCCGGTCTCCCACTCAGACCAGGACTCCTGGGGTTAAGTCCTCCCCCTGAGTGGGAGTGACCAGAGCAGGGTCATGATTCCCAGGAAGGAGTAGGTATGGACCTCCCTCCCCCGCCTTCTTTTATTTGGTCTGGATTGAGGATGGGGAGGCTATTGCCCTGGGGACTGTTGCTGCCCTCGGCCACTCTGCCTCCCCAGCCCACTCACCACTGAGGAAGTTGTAGATGATGGGGTTGGCCGCGCTGTTGGCGTACACCAGCCAGTGGGAGAAGGTGAAGCAGGCATAGACGGCCTCTCGGTCGTTGGCTTGGTGGAACATCCCGAACACCCTAGGACCGAGGGGAGGAGTCAGAAATGGGGCAGACGTGTGTATGTGTTTATGCTCCTAAGCTGCAGGGCGATAAAGTACAGGAGTTCCCACTGCCCCTTCCATCCACCCCTTTCCTGGGCCTCTGGGTCTGGGGTCGTGACCACAGTTTTGGGTTCTTGAGCACAGAGTATGACTGGAGTGGACCTAGGGGCAGGCACCAGGGCACATCTGCTCAGTCACCGGCTATCTGACCCCCTGGGTCTCCCCATCCATGTTCTCATCCATCCTCACAGCAACCTGATGAGTCATAGACACACCATTTTTCAAACAGGGAAGTCAAGGTACTGGCCCAAGATCACTCAGCCAGGAAGTGGCCACGCACTAACTCTCACTGAGATGTCTCATGTCAAATAGTCTGTTCTTTCCCTGCACCCCGAGGCCTCTCGCTCGCCATGCCCCTGTGCTCCCTCCGCTCAGCGTGCCGTCCCTCCCTTCAGGTCTCTGCCAAATGTCACTTCCTCAGAGAGGTCTTCTTTTAAAAACATATGCTATTTTTTAAAAAGATTAAAAAATAAAACCACCAGCCCCTATCACCACCACTCTCTATCCACTCTCCATATTTTTTTCTTCGTAGCAATTGTCACTGCCTGGCATTATATATAATGCATATTTATTTCTCTCTCCCATTGGATGTGGCCTCTGTGAAGGCAGGGATTCTGTACTGTGCACTGTTCACTGTGTTCCCAGCCCTACCATTTGACGAGTGAGTGAGTGAGTGGATGGAAGAATTTTCACAGTAGCCCTAGGAGGCCAGGACTGTTACTATCACATGTTACAGATGAGGAGACTGAGGCTCCAAGAAATGACCTGCCCCAAGGTAATATCATAGCTTTGGGGTTAAGCCAGGTCTTTTTCCAAAGCAAAGACAGCGCCTTCCTCTGACCCCATAACCATCTCCTCACCCCTAACCTCTCCCCAAGTGCTCTCACCTCTTCAGGACATTGAGGACACTGATGGGCAGGTAGCAGAGGGCAAAGACCAGCAGCACCACCATCAGCATCTTGGCTGTCTTCCTCCGAGCGCGCATTTGCTTCACCTCAGCCAGGAAGGCCCGGGCCCGCGGCGGGGGCCCTGCGCCCAGGCCCTGCCCCTGCTCCTCCGACTGGTCTGAGGGCCGCTTCCAGTTCCTCACCAGGGCCGATGTGGTGCCCGGGATCTGTCCAGCACACACAGAGACAGCGGTGGTGGGAGGAGCTCCTCGGAGGTCAGGCCCTTTGCTGGGCTCTGCTTCGGGCTGGACCCTGGGGCAGGTGAAGGTGGGTGAACGGAACAAACCCTTGCAATAGGAAGGAACCTAACATTCATAACAGAGACCAACACTCTGGACTGAGTGTGAACACCTGCTTTCATTTCCTATTGGCTCATGGGGAGGCCGCCCCAATTAGGCCTTTGGGGAAGATATTATTGGCCCTTGGTTAGAGATGAGGCAGGGGAGCCTAGGCAACATCCTCCCATCCATCCTCATGGGGTCACCTCCTCCATCTGTGGGGGTGGGGTGCAGGTGGGTCTTGCCTCCTCCTGGCCCTGCCTGCCTGTGGGGAAGCCACGGCAAGGCTGAGCCAGGGAACAGCATGGACTGGCCTGGCCTCAGAGCACAGGTCCCAGCCTAGGTCGGCGCCCATAAGCCTATCGTGGTCCAGGCTCCTGGAGCGGCCACAGATGCCCTCGAAGCCCCTCCCACCGCTAGACACCTGAAGCTCCCCGCAGAGGGCATGTGGCCAGAGTGCAGGAAATGGGGCCTAGGGCCGCTCAGCCATTCCTGAGCTATGCGACCTTGCTCAGCGCACTGTCCTTTCCCGAGCCTTGGCTTTCCTGTCTGTGAGATGAGAGAGCGACTGCTGCCCTCTTGACTGGCGGCTGTGAGGAGCAGGTGGCATGTGTTGGTGGACGGAAGGCTGGTCATGCTCTGGCCTGCATGCTCTCACTGCCCAGACACTGGCCCAGGACTCACTCCTGCTGGTGCCAGGGGGCCTCTGAGCACCCCCAGCCCCCCCAAACC